GATGTGTGCAGGTCCCACCATTCCTCGTGTGGGAGATGGCAGCCTCCCAGAGTTGGTGCTTTAGCCAGAAACTACATGCGTGGCATAAACTCTTGGTCTGTGTGGCGTTGCCTCATGTCGAGTTTGTTTTGTTTTCCCCTTAATATGGGAACCCGTGCTTCCTCCGGGTATACGAGGAGCGTACTTTGTTTGGGATGAGAGAACCAGAGGGAAGACCAGAGTGAAATGTTCTGAATCTGCCAGGCGGTGCTGTGCCTCTGCATTGCCCAAGAAGAGGCATGGTCCAGCATTTTCCCATATGGTCCTCCTCCCCTGACAAATGCTTGGGGATGTGAGGAGCAAGTGCATAAACCAGACCAAGATGTTCCCATGAAACATTTTCGTCCAGATATGCGTGCCGATCCCGTTCCTGAAATACTCTTGCCCTTCACTTGTCATGCGCAATTTGAAACTCTCACAGATAATAGTGTCCTGGGAAAATCCTTTCGGAATCGATAGACATAACAGCTGATGTGTTCTTCTCCTCTCCCTTGTCGGAAGCTGTGCCCTAACTTGGCTCTTTCCTCAAGATCTATTGGTGCTTCTGGGAAAGTGCTGTGCTCTTGAAGCCTTGTTTATGGAAAATGATACATTTTTAAAATCTGTTATCTTTAATGGGCTGCAAGATAACTCTATAAGTGTGTGGCATGTGAAGATGGTGCTGAGAAACAGTAAGTAACTGAGATGGGACAGTATTCTCATAATATTTTTATTTGCCTTCCATTTTAATTCAAAGCTTTCTTTCTCCTTCCTGTCTTTGTCTTTGTTTAAACAGCGTCCTCTGGCTCCTGCTGAAGCTGCTCTGCCCGTGTTCACAGAGCCGTGTTTCCCTTGGCTGCCTGCACTGCAGAACTTTGCTGTGTTCCAGGCACCCCCCCACACCTCGCCCCTTCCCGGGGTCACTGTGGAAGGGCCATGGCAGACACTGGGGAGGGGAAAAAGGAGGAAGCTGATTATAAAAGACTTCACAGCTTTCCGCTGATTAGGGTAAGAAGAGGAATGGATTATGCATTTACCAGTGTTACAGATAGGAAATTCTACCTTTGTTCTTACCAACCTTCTAAACTAGAACTCCTCCTGTGGAGTAGCTGCTATGAGAACAGGCTAGTGGTCCTGTGAAGGGATCGTCGTCCTCACCGCTGCTTTCTCCCTGTCCTTGACCACTGTCAGGGATATTTATTAGCACCGTTGTTCCCCTCATCAGCCAGGGGAAGCCTGGGGCAAAGTGATGCTTCTAATAGATTGAACATGCTGCCTTTGGAGTGCTCTCCTGTGTTCTGGAAGCAGTGTGCTTTTTTGCCTAGAGGAGCTGGGGTAAAAGATCTTGGTAGCCAGCCAGATAGCAGAAGAGGAAGAAAAGGCTGTGTAATTTAGACTTCTTTGTCATGCTTATAGCAATAATTAAGGACTGTGGTTGGAGCAGTTAATACTGCTTTACCTTCATCTTATAACAGAAAAACTGGCGAATGTATTTATCTCCTCTAAGCTGTGCTTGCTTAGTCTTGATGTTAGGTGGAGAATCATTCTGCACTGGCTGGGACAGAAAAACAAATGGATCACTTGTAATGCAATAAACTGTTTTCATATTTACCATTCTCTGAAACAGTGGAAATATTTGATGTGCAGACAGGCCCATGTTGCTGGTGATGGCCCCCAGCTTGAAGCAAGCATTAAAAGTCACAGGGAGTGCTGCCTTTTGCCCGTGCCTGGTACCCTAGGCCCCCACTATAGCCTATGCAAAAGAAATGGCCACTTACTGTTGTCTTGTGTCTAGCTCTTATTTTTCTGCTAAGTTCCTCGTGTTTGTTTGCTCTTTCCAGCACACAGACATGCCAGAGGAGATGCGTGTAGAGGCCATGGAGCTGTGTGTGACGGCATGCGAGAAATACGCCACCAACAATGAGGTACTAGGCAACTCTCGGAACGGCCAGCCTTTGGTTGCTGCGGCTCAAGGAACCTGCAGGAGCAGGGCTAAGGGTTCAGGGCAGAGTGGAATCAGATCCTGACATCCACTTACTCCCTTCCTCCTCTGAGCAAGGGGCGGCAGAGAGCTTAGCTAGATCCCAGATTTGGTTTCCTTTGTCAGCTGGATGCATAATAGCACTTTGCTTTCCTGCAGGAAGCGGAGATTTGTAGCGATGCTGCCTCCCAAACCTTACCTCCTTCCTAATCCTGCCCTACCTGTGACGGCTTCCACTCTGTTCATAAAATGCCCTGTGCCCTGAGGGCTTCGTTCAGAATGATGTGGAGACAGACCCTTCTCATCCATTCTTCAGTGCTGAGCAAGACCATCCCCATCAGAGTAGGGAAGAGACTCATTTTGGGGATGAGTACATGAAAGTACCTGAATCTTTAGAACCTTAGAACAGACAGTAGTCTGTTAAGTCTTCCTTCTGGGCTTTCAGACTCCGGAATGAGCTTACTGAGACCATAAAATCAGGGTGGTTATGCGAAAGTTAGTCTTTGGAAAGGTTGCCCTTAACTTCAAGAACCAACGATAAAGGAAAGCTCACCTTGCTGCGTGTGCAGGGCACAGACCGCTCATTGCCAGCGCAGTTTTGTGCTGGAGCAAGGCAAAGCTATGAAGCCAGAGATTCCTTCTGTCCCATCCTGCCTGAGACACCACCGCATGTCACTGTAAAATCTTTCTCTCTTTTTTTTTAGAACAAGCAGGGTGTGATCTGGGAGAAGCGAGCCTTTTAAAAGTCAGCCTAGTTTCAGTGTTTTGGTAATTAGATGGAAAAAAATGGACTCCTGTAAAAATAGCTGCAGCTTAGTGACCTGAATCTCCTCTCGTGCTCACTGCACCCAGCGTAACTCCATCAGCGTCTACACCACAACTCTTGCTTCAGACTGCGTGAACGAGACGTGATTGTTAGATGTTAGATAGTTCTTTAATTTCTCCTAGCTGCTGTGTCAGAGGGTTCTGAAAATGGAGACCTGTTTTACCCTTGGGCGTAGCTCTGGGGAGCTCCCAGTTCCTGCAGTGCAGCTGTTAGACCTGTTGCCCCTGGCCTCAGTAGTCTTATTAAAGGGAGAAGACAACTAGGGGGATGTTTGCATAAAACCTCACTGCTTGTTCTGTCTCACCCTCTACTCTCTTCCTTAAAATTCTGCAGAGCGCTGCCAAGATGATCAAAGAGATGATGGACAAGAAATTTGGGTCCTCCTGGCACGTGGTGATTGGGGAAGGTTTTGGCTTTGAGATCACTCACGAGGTGAAGAATCTGCTGTACATGTTCTTTGGTGGCAGCCTGGCCGTGTGTGTCTGGAAGTGCTCCTGACATCCGGCCAGATCCCAGACCTGCTGCGTGCAAGAGATTTCTTCCTTCTCTTGACAAGTTTTGTACAATCTAGCAATCTGGAGGTGGGGCTTTATTTTTAATAGTTCAATAACAAGATTGTTTCTTTTTTTTTTTTTTTCATACTGACGTAACAGTTCTGTGGGATTCATATAGTTGGTCCGTGTATGTGTATAAACTTGCTAAGCTGTCCGGTCCTTGCTGGTCGGATTTCTCATCTGTCTGTGGCGGCTTCCTTGGTGTTTGAGCTGAAGCAGGCAGTAGCTGGGGAGTAGGTAACCTCACAATGGGCTGCAGAGCCGTACAGCAGCGTGAGGAAAGGGAAGCGAAAGAGAACAGGTGCTATCTAACCCTACGTTTGTCTTTCCTCCCACTCGTTCCACATCATGTCCTCTCTTCTCTGCCTTCCTCGCTACCATGTGGTGCAGCTCTGACCAGCACCTGTCTTTCCTCTCTCTGAATGCCAAGAATATCTTCTTCCTCCCGCTCCCTGCTCTGAAGATGTCCATGCAGCATGGGCAGTGCCAAGGGTCTCCCTTTGGGCTGCCTGTGGAGGTGTCAGGCACAGGGAAGCAGACTTGGCTTGCCCTTCCCTGCTGCTTTTTGGGGAAGGTACAGCAGCTGAGCTGCCTGGGTGTAGGAGGTTGCTATGCAAACTGCCCCCTCCTTTCTCACCCGCCGCACACGCAGAGAGCATGAAAACACAGGCGGCTGACGACGCCTGGGGAGTGGGTGAGAACTATTCATAAGGCTCAAATGCCTCCCTGTCAGTTCTCGGGGGTGTTGCAAGTGCTGTGTACTTTCAGCATCTTGTATGGAGGCTGGTGGAGGAAGGAGGCTCCATGTGAGATTATCACTTGGTCATCAGAAACCTAATGTCTTTTTGGACTTGCATCCTTTTAGCCTGTTTCTTTTTTTTTTTTTTAAAAGCTGTCAATGTTGGAGGATGGAATGGACGTAATTGTATGTTACGTACATGGCTTATTTATATAAACCTTGGGAACTGTGTTTTTACAATAAAAACTTAGTAAAGTCCTTTTGTCTGTGTGTTCTAAAATAAAAATCCCAAAGTGGAGGAGGAAAAGGAAAAGTAGTTAAGGAAACACAGAAGTAAGCAGTGATGTAGCTCAGGTGGAGGACAGTGACAAGTGTCCAGGCTGTGTGTTTTCTGGGTGAGTTGTAGGTACCGGAGATGCGCTCTCATCTTCCCTAATTCTTTTCACCAGCGCAAGCCACAATGCTGAGGAAGGTTGCCAGGCCCACAGTGCTGCTGGCCAAAGTCCTTGGTCCATGCAACTCTTGAAGTAGCAGCAAGAGAGTGTACCCATGTCCTCTGTGCTGATCCTCAGAGTTTCATGTTTGTGGCTTCCTTGATTTTCAGACTTTCCTCTGAGAATGTTGCCAGCGGTACTGCTGGCACCTTGTGCTTTATGAGCAGTCACGCTCTAGTCCATAGTCCAATTCCAGAGGACCTTTCTGCATCAGTGCCTGCGGTGGATCAAACTACTGGAGGATCTTAGACTTCCTTTTGTCCCTTCTCTCACAGAATCACAGAATGTTAGGGGGCCTCAAAAGACCATCTAGTCCAGCCCCCCCACCAGAGCAGGATTGCCTACAGTAGACCGCACACGTACGCATCCAGACGGGTTTTGAATGTCTCCAAAGAAGGAGACTCCACAACCTCCCTGGGCAGCCTGTGCCAGTGCTCTGTCACCCTCACAGTGAAAAAATTTTTCCTAATATTTTTGTGGAACCTCCTATGTTCCAGCTTGTACCCATTGCCCCTTGTCCTGTCATTGGACGTCGCTGAAAAGAGCCTGGCTCCGTCCCCCTCACACTCCCCTTTGACATATTTATGAACATTTATGAGGTCACCCCTCAGCCTCCTCCAAGCTAAAGAGACCCAGCTCCTTCTCTCATCCACAGTGTGATGCTAGAGATGTCCATTTCACTGTGTCAGGAGCTCTTATGTAAGCCAGGATTTGGAATAATATGAAGACAACAGAAATTATTTAAAATTTGGTCCATCTGTGCTGGCTGGACCCCACATCCTCTCTCATAATTCCTTACTGATCGGGTGGAAGGGAACTCCAAGGCAAGGGAGGACATCTAACTGGTACCATAAGGGAATTGGTACAACAATACCTGCCCTGTGTGATGGACCGCAGCGGCAGGATTGCTGTGCAGTGTTGAAGAGTCCAAATCTTTTGAGCTGTCTCCTGGCATGGTTACTCTGTCTCACTCCATCTGGCTGCCTTTACACCACGATAGCAGAGTTGACTGGCACTTTCTGCAGCTGGCAGGTGGAAAAGATTATTTTCTCTTCCACAGCTTTCTGTTTCATCTAGGTAAGGTAAAGACAGTGTCTTTGGAATGCCCCACGCTGTAGCACGATGATACCTTCAGCCATGCCATAGTTGCTTTGATCAGGCCTCTTTCACACTAATGAATAATTAACTGCTGTGTGCATGTGCACAGATGTGCTGGTCATGGGCATCTCTGCAGGGTCGTGGTGACCTGCAAGTGATCCCAGGGAGCTGCTTACCTCAGCACATGTTCTTTTGGCCTCACTGCCACTTTGTTATCTCTGTGGCCGCCAGCTGACCGAAGCTGATGTCTCCCTGACCTGCATGGGCAATAAGGGAATGATGACCGCTCCCCAGCCTTCTTGAAGCAAGAGCGTGCAAACAGATTGAGGTGAGCTAGGTGTGAATTTGCAGCAAATCATCTCCCACACTGTTAACTCCCCCAAGGTAAGTGCAAGGTGGCTCACAGGAGCGCTGCAGGATATTTCTGTTTCCAAGGGTAACAGCTTTCCCACAAGAAGTTGCCATGAAGAAGTCAACCCATCTTAGCTGGCCTGTCATCAGCACCGTATGCAAAAGCACGAACCTCAACTTCCCAAAATTCAGCTGTGCATGTCAAGGCCCTCACTCTGAGACAAAACAGATCAATTTTCCCACCCGTTGCAAGTCGAACCATGCTGTGCTGGCCCCTCTGTGTTAGAAGAAAGACTTTCATCCTCGTTTTGCTGTGGAACTGTACGTTTTCAGGCATGCCTGTCATTTCCAGGGAAGTACAGTTTATGGATAAGGGATGGTCCCTTGTCCTGTGTTTTCCTGCAATAGACCTCTCTGTCGCTGATGCTCTGGAGCCTCTAGGGCCTGTCTGTTTTGTAGACTATGAAACTTCAGTCTCTTGCTGAAGGATTTTACCTTACAAATTTTCAGCAGAAGCTGGGAAAGTTGGCAACAGGTGGCTCGCTATTGTGTTCTCTCCCTTGCGTTTCTTGCCCCCTGCATATATCTGCCATTACCCATCAAAGCGTCAGGCTGAGTCAGATGTGGAAAAGGACATGAAAAACGCAGGGTGATGCGTCGGTGCCAGCCGAAACGACCCTTTCTACCTGCCAATCCCGGAAAGCTGCGATAGCAGCTTCGAGCGCTGTGCTTCATGACTTCATCCCTCCCCGCTGAGGGGAGATGGGCAACATCATTATCAGCTGCCGGGGAGTCCTGACTCAGTGCCAGCAGTGGAAATGTCTTCGGATGTATGGCTCCTCCTCCACCCCAAGGGTGACTCGAACCTGCTGGGAAGATGGAGAAAGAGCTGGGGGAGGCGAGGGGAGAGAGAGATGGGAAGAAAGAGGTGCAAACTCAACGGCTTCTCTGCGATGATGTCATGGCAACAAGATATGTCAATGCGCTGTCAGGCGATCCAGGCAGGCTTTGAAGCTCTCCAGCTCTTCCCTTTTGCCGCGGGCTTGTGCCTGACTCGCTCAGAAATGTTTTGGTTAATATTTAATGCCAGCATTGAAGTGTTGAGGGTGGCAAGTGCCCCACCTCATCCCCCTGCCTCCACTTTCCAATGGGATGCTAAATCCAGGAGGGGGTTAGGATTGCAAACCCCTCCAGCCTGGGGATGGGACTCCTGGTCAGTAGGATGTCTTCAGCCCATAGGGTCCCTGTCCCCTTCCGGCTCTAGGATGTAGGAGAGAGGTTTCTATCCCCCTTATCCCAGTTGAGAGGTGGTTTAGGACACTGGAAGGAGGGAGACCGCCCTCTCCCCTCAGTCTCCCATGGCTGCCTCCGGAATAAAGAAATCTGTGGCCCTGCTCTGCGAGCCGAGCCCAGCTCCTTTGATGCGAGTGATTAGCACATATTTTTTCTTGGTGGTGTTGGCTTTTTTTGCTAAGCAATGACCTAATGATCCTGTGTTCCAGCTACAGCTCCTCCTAAGTGCCGTCTTTCCAAACCGTATGTCCAGATTGGATCCAGCAATCCTCTTGGAGCAAGACGCCGTGTTCCCTTCCCCGGGGAAGCCATCTGCTCCCCTCCGCCCAGCTCCTTATGCAGGGCTTTGAGCTTGCCAGCCGGGCTGGAAATCTCTTCCTCCTCTTCCTCCCCATTCAGCCCGGGCTCCCATCGGCCATCTTGTTAGTGCAATGCACAGGGAAAGGAACTCGAGGCTGGCTGAATCTAGGGCGGCTGATGGTGTCAGCCGGAGGCGGTTTCCAGGCAACTGTCACGCAGTGGGACACAGCGAGCCGAGAACACCAGGAACATCATGTTCTAACACCACGATGGCCTGGGAAGGGTTTGAGCCTGGCTCGGATGGGGCCAGCATGGGTCAGTGAGGAGTGGAGGAAGCATGAGCAAGAGAGTGGTGCAGGGACTGAAGCAGAGGAGAGGGTCTCCAGCATACCCCCTCACACCACTGCTCATCACACCCTCCCTGGTTTGGAGTGAGGAGATCCAAGCTGGCCACTGGTACATGACACAGCGAGGAAGGGCCATGTGATAGACAGGATTCCACATGCCTTCTGCATCCTTTGGAAAATCAAGAAGAGTAAAAACATTACTCCTGACTCTGTACCAAAGGCCCCAGGCTTGTTGCGGGTGTACCCGTGCTTCTCCGTCCCTTAACAAACCCAAAGCTCCTTCCACACAAGTCGACAGCTGTCTTTGCCCATGCACCCCAGCTGTGTGATCCTGGGTGTCACTGGAAAAGTTAATTCTTGTGAAAATGGGCTGCCCTTCCCTTCTGCAAGCTGCCACTTCTCTCCCAGCAGTGGGTCCTGCTGCTCCTCTGTGCTCATGCCCAAGGCAGCCCACCTCTCCCTCCTGCTTCAGAAGTCCCGGGAGCATCCTTGACTGCAAACCTCACCTGCCTATCAGCCCTTCCTTACGCTGCCAGCCTAGTTTTTCCACCCCAAACTGGCGACGCTAATATTCACATCCCTTGTGTTTTACCTGTCTTGAGTGTTTTTTGAAAGGAAAGTTAAGTACAAGTGATTCTGAATAAATGGAGGAGGATGGTAAAATCATGAGCAGCAGGAGAATAACTCTCCCGGATTACAAGTGCCTGGATAGGATGGACACAGAGAACAGAGTTGTGTGGTGCTGGGCAGGGTGGGGGCTGCAGAGGGGCAGAACCGCCCTGTGTTACCAAGAAATGTTCTGTAGCCCGATGTGGGTGACAGCATGGAGGGACAGGACGGCACAGGGTTTATTTGCAGCCATTGCTGTCCCCGAGCCAGCCTTGTGGCTATTGATTTGGAACTTGCCCCGTTCATGCTAACCTTGGCAGTGCCAGTTCGCCCCTTATCAGCAGTAATAAACCCCGCTGCAACCTCCTATCCTGCTGTCAGGGGACCCTGCAAGGTGACAGATCTTTCCTGCGACTCTGCCCTTGCACCTGTTGCTCTTTTGCTGTGATGTTCTAAATCCAGGACACCTCACTCCTATTTTTGCACAGAGGCTTCAGCTGCACCAACTCTCTTGTAGCCCCGGGTGGGTGCCCAGCCCTTGCTGAGCATCTTGGGCGAGGAAGGATGCGACGCCAGCTGCAAACACTTTTCCATAGGAAATTTAAAGTCAGCCTCCTCTTTCTCTTGCTCTTGGCCCTGCTGGTGCACCTGGCAATGGATTTGGCTCTCCCTACAGCCCGCAGGCGCTGCGGCTGCGATGCGAAAACACCAAAAGACTCGGGAATCCCAACAGGCAGCCCCGTGCTGGCCAGCCCCAAAAAGCTGAGCCTGCGAATCCTTCAGGATTTCAGCGGCAGCAACGGCTCCTTGGAGAAGAGCTCCCAGTTGCAGGGAAGGAGGTCGCAAGCAAGGGCTGGAGAGCTGTTGGATCAGCGCCGGAACAGAGAGGGGAACATGGGGCAGAAGGAGGGATCAAAGCTGGCGGCGCTCTTTGAGCATCCTCTTTACAACATCCCCCTTCCAGAGGTGACAGAGAAAGACAAGCTGTTTGTCGTCAACCCCACAGAGAAGTTCAGCCTGCGCAGCAGCGGGAGTGATGAATGGTGAGGAGTGAGATCAGCCCTGGCTTGTTTTGGGGGGATATGTGGGTTTGGGGGGACAAGCGTCGATGAGGAAACATGTCATTGCCTTGTGCAGATCAGCATCCCACCCCGGAGGGGCCCCATTTGCTGAACGTGCTCTTCTTGTGCCTCAAATTGTCTCTCAGCCCTGAACTTCTGTGCTGCTGTCTGCAAGCCTGTAGCACATGGCAAAGCGAAAGGAGATTCTCAAATTATTCATAGTATTATGTAGAGTATCTTTTAGGTCACCTCCTCACCTCCTTTCCTTCCTCAATGCAAACTCCAGCCTTTGGTCTCACTCTGTATATATGAGAAGGTCCCCACTCTAGATTTCTAACCAGTTTTATCCCCCTCTCCTGACATGCTGGAGATGCAAAGCCCACAGTATAGGTTTCCTCTGGCTGTGAGACTGTTCCCATTCTGCATTTTGCAGGACATCACCTGACCTCTTCAGGCTCAGCCGTATGGTGATCTCACCGCTGTCGGCTGCCTATTTTTATCACTGGACTACTAACCTCTAATTAGGAGGGAAGATATTAAAAGCTTTAGCGTCAGTAACACGTAGCAGCTTCCTTACAGAAAGCACACCTTCCAAACGTGGTGGCTGCTAAAACTGGGAGAGAACAAAAGCTGGTTTAAGAGCTGGTTTCCACAAATGGGCATTTGCCTTGTCTCTGAGGACCACCTTGCCTATGGATAACCAAGGCAGATGGGTCTGGTTTGATCAATCGGGGCATGATCTGCATTTTTCCTAGCGAGATGTGGATTTAGGTTATAGATGCCCTGAGCTGGACTGTGCCATTGCAGTGCAAGTGGGTGCTGGTGTGGAGGGGGGAAAGATATCCCAGGAGCCCCTTGAATGCCAACAAACTACTGGAGGCATAGAGGCAGGGACAGTGCTAACCCAAACTCAACTCCCACCCTGGAGAAACCCAGGGTGTGTGATAAACACATCCAAGGGAAAACTGAACATTAAGAGTGGGAGTTCAGGTTGATGCTGGGGGTGGCTGGGGAGCCCCTGTTCCTCCAGCCCTGTTTTACAGACGTGTGTGTGTCACCAGCAAGCACATAGTGGGGTGTAGCCAGTTGTATTCCCAGGAGCTGTTCCCCTGGGGAAAAGCAACAAGATGAGCTTTTCCAGCAGGGGAATAAAGGCACGGATGAGAGGAGCAGGATCAGCCTTAGGATTTTCCATGGGGCATGCAAGGAAAGACACCAAGTCCCCTCCGACCACGCTGGTGGTTCTTCCTGGCCACCAGTCATGGGTGGGATGTGCCCAGGTGCCAGGAGCCCCATGGAGGGTACATGGGGCAGGGGGGTTTGCCACCATCCAGGGCTTGTTCTGGGCCTTCCCCTCTACCTTACCCTCAATGCACCAGCTCCTGGGAAGGACCTGGGGACACAGGACCTGCCCTGTCCCATCCCAACTAAACACTGTTGTTGTTGTTGGGGTGGTGGTGGCTGCCGGGCTGCAGGGTCAGCAGCAGTAAAGCCGAGACGCTCCTTCCGACAGGGAAGACGGCCTACGACACCTACCCCTCCTGGCTCAAATTCCACGTCGGCATCAACCGCTATGAGCTGTACCCCCGCCGGGACCCCCTGATGCCCACCCTCCTCCAGGACTTGGCTATGAAGAAGATCGTCACCTCGGGTACCACCTCCCTGCCTGCACCCCTGCCCGCACCCCTGCCTGCACCCCTACTCTACCACTCACCTCCCTCATCCCCATGTGCCCCCTTTCAGTTCAGAAGTCCGGTGGAACCCAGCTCAAGCTCATCATGACGTTCTCAAACTACGGGCAGGCCCTCTTCAAGCCCATGAAGTGAGTAGAACAGGGACAACCCCATGTCCCACCCACATGGTCTCATTCGGTGGCAAGAAGTGGCCAGGGGAGACCACTGGAGGAGAAATGCAAAAATGCTTTGTGCGCTGCTTTGCTTCAGCACCCCTACCCCAAAATTGAGGCGGGTGGGATTATCTTCTTCTCCCTGCCTTCCCTGGTGGTGCTTGCTGCAATCTGGGCTCAGCTTGTGATGACGTAGTGACCTCCAGTGGTGGAAAGAAGACGGTCCGTGGTCTTTTAGGCTGGGAGCGAGAGTTGTGTGGGAGCCTGGTTGGAGGGTTTGGAACCACACCACCGAGTATGGAGTGGCTGGAGGAGACTGAGTGTGGCTGTATCTCCAGTGGCACCAGGGACAAAGCTGAAGGGTGGTACTGAGCCAAGTCCGTGCTCGAGGTGACCCCATCCATCCCCTCTCCTGCCAGGCAGACCCGGGACCAAGAGACCCCCGTGGACTTCTTCTACTTCTCAGACTATGAGCGGCACAACGCAGAGATTGCAGCCTTCCACCTGGACAGGTGAGCACAAACTTTGCACCCATCTCTGTCTACCTGTGACAGTGAAGTGGCAGAGAAACTGCTCCTTCATCCCTCCTCTTCCTCCCTGTGCCTCACTATGGTCTTAATAACTCGCTGTGAAAACCAGCTGGGTTCAGCAAGAAACATTTCCAAATTCTGAGTTTCAGGATCTTGGATTTCCGTCGAATCCCCCCAGTTTCTGGCCGTTTGGTCAATATAACGAAGGAGATTCGTGACATCACCACAGACAAGAAACTGGCCAAGACTTTTTTCATCTCCCCAGGTGAGCTTTCATGCTGTCCATCCTCTCCTGTGGCCACTTGCATGGAGCTTACCTGGAGCCAGCTGCTCCTGCCCTGGTTCTCCCTGCACTGGGGCAAACCATCTTTGGAGCTGCTCCAGCTCCCACCAAGGGTCCTGTGCAGCAGCACTCTGCTCCTCAAGGCCTACCTTGCCATTGCTTTGGTGGTGGCCATGATGCATGGACCATCCTCACCCAGCCCACCTGCTGAAACCACCCTGAATGGGGGTAGCAGGCTTGTTGCCTTCCTGCTCTTCTTTGCTTTGTCCCCACCTCCAGGGGGCAATGTCTGCTTCTATGGGGAGTGCTCATACTACTGCTCCACTGAACACGCCCTCTGTGGCAAGCCAGACCAGTTGGAGGGCTCCATGGCCGCCCTGCTGCCCGACAAGACCTTAGCCAAGCGTCGCTCCTGGCGCAGTCCCTGGCGCCGCTCCTACCACAAGAGCAAGAAGGCTGAGTGAGCTGGGGCAAGGGGCAGGGGGCACGGTGGGAAAATGGGAGCCATGGGGCAGCTGAGCCATGGGACAGGAGGGGGCGGCACCAAGGCCATTCTCATGGCCCTGTCACCCCTCCTGGCCTCTGCCCACAGGTGGGAGCTGACCCCCAACTACTGCAGTCAGGTGCGAGAGACACCGCCTTACGACAGGGGCCATCGCCTCCTCGACCTCATCGATATGACGATCCTCGATTTCCTTATGGGTGAGCCTCACCGTGCCGGTGCTGAGGCCTCCGGGGGACCCTCGGGACTAGGACACCCGAAGGGCTCTGTGGTACCGTGCCCCAAGTTTGGCCGCAGCCAAACCAACGCTCAGGCTGCGGAGAGCTGGGTGCTACCCAAAACTGGAGAAAGGGCTGTGCTGTTAGGTCACATCCTAGGCAGAGGCCAGAGGACGAGAGATGCTGGGGAGATCCCAGCTGAGCACCCCAGGCACGGGAAGGAAGCACCTCTCAGCAAGCTTCCACACGCAGCTTCTGGGGTGCTGGGGCTGGCAGTGATGTTCCCCAGCTCCCTGCACTGCCTGTCCCATCTCCAGGGCCACTCCTTCCTTCCCGTGGTGTTTCCCCACCATCATCTGACTTGGAGAGCTTCCCGTCTCCACGTCCTCAGTTGCCCAGACGTGCCTTTGCCATTACTTCTGCTCTATTTGCTGCTGCCATTCTTCCATGGGGCTGCTGGGATGAGAAAGGGTCTGGAGGCCCTGGGGGCTCTGCTCAGGTGACTCCCCCCAGCCATGGCCACCAAATGAGCACATTAGAGGTGCCCACAGTCCTTTTTCCTACTCTCTGGGTTTCAATCTTGTACCGGGAGGGGGCTTTGTGTCCCTGTTCCCACCTCTGGGCACACCACTCAATGGCAAATTTCTCACCCAACCACAGGCAACATGGACCGGCACCACTACGAGACCTTTGAGAAATTTGGGAATGACACTTTCCTGCTCCACCTGGACAACGGCCGCGGGTAAAATGGGGAAAGGGAAGCAATCCCTGCAAAGGAGTAGGGCGGAGATGGTGGGCCTTGCCAAAATGCATCCTGACTTGGGCTCTGGGCCATGGGGCGGTGCTGCCCTGACCCCAACCCGGTGGACTTCTTCCCCCTCAGTTTCGGCACACACTCGCGTGACGAACCATCCATCCT